GCCGCGGCACGGACGGGGGTCCCTGCGCCCGGGGGCGGCCCCGCGCTCCGCACCGCAACCCGCAGGGCTTGTGCTCGCGTGTGCTCAGCAAAATGCTGGGAAGCGGGGAATGAATACACATACAGGCACAGAACATCCCAGCGGGCTGCCCGCGGTGGCAACGGGAGAGCCGCCTGGCAGCGGTTAGGGGGGCACACCGGGGTGTCCCTCCACCTCCCGCGAGTGCGGAGGGCAGCGTGGGGATGTGGTGGCAGGATGCGCGGGGCGTAGCTCGTCGGACGCTGGCGGCTGCCCCGGGGGACGGGAGAATAGCAGGTGCGGGAGCTGCGGGAGGGGATCGGCGACGCCCGGGAGGGTCGCCGGCAGCTGAAGGTTCGTCGGAGACGGGGTCCCCGCCGCGATGGGGAACGGGAATAGGAGGAAGCGCCCCGTCGCAGCTCTTCAGCCGCAGCAGCTCAGCGTCCCTCGGGGATGACCGAAAGGAGGGAGGTCACCGTGGGGCGAGAGGAGGTGGTCACAATGGGGGCGGCACAAGCCGGGGCGGGGGCACGCGCGGGGACCGCCAAAGGGAGAGTGGCTGCAAGGTGACCCCCGTGGGGCTCTGCCTCCGCCCCCTCCCGGTTTAATCCTCTGCAGACGCCGGCAGAGGCGGGATAATCAAGCGGCGACCGGGTTGGGGGTGCCCCAGCTACACCCGCTCCTTTGTGCCGGCAGCCCGCGCCTCCCCCGCTGCCCCTCGGCCACCGCTCTGCGCTGCGGGACCAGTTCGCCCGAAGGTGCCGGAGCCTCACCCAGGGGAGCGAGGGGCGGGTGAAGCCCCTTCCTCGCCGCCGCCATCGGGGTTACCGCGCTCTCCCTTGCGAGAACGCCAGCGGGAGGAGGGGAGCGGCGAGGAGCTGCCTTTAATCCCTACTAGTAATTTTTTTTTTTTTTTTTTTTTTTACTATGTTTACTTCCGACCTCTCCGTGCGCGGCTCGTAGTAAAAGACAACAACAACAAAAAAAATAGTAAAATAAATAAAAAGGGCCACAGAGCGCGGCATCGCTTCTCGCGGCGCAGCTCTCTCTCTCCCGGCCGGCGGAGGCGGGGGCAAAGCGCGGCCGCGGATCTCTGCGCAGCGAGGAGCGCAGGGGCGCGCAGCGGCGCGGTATATATATCGCAGCGCGCCCTCCCGCGGCCGAGCGCGGAGCCTCTGCCGGGGGCGGGCGGGAGCACGGCGGGGCCCCGCGGGGCCGCCCCCGCCACCGCTCCCCCGCCCCTCGCCGGCGCTTTAAAGGAGGAAAGCAACTAAACTTCTATTGTACCGGCCAGCGCGCCGCGCAGCCCCGGACCAGCGAGAGACCGCGCCGGGAGGCGGCTGCTCCGCCGCTCCGTGGGGTTTATCAAACCGTGGTGGGAGGAAGAGACCTACATTCTCCCGGCGTTTTGTCTATTTTTTTTTTTTTTTAATTTTTCCCTCGTCCTTTCTGGCGGTTCTTTTTATCATCTATCCATTTTCCCTTCGTTGTTTCCGCACCGCCTGCAATAATCGCCTCGCTACGTCTCGCAGCTGGCGCGTTGGAGAAGCCGGTGAGTTGCGGGGCTCTTCGCTTCGCTTCCCATCACTCGATTCCCGCGGTTGTGGCGTTTGGATTGACACGGGCTGGTGACACCCGGGCTTCTGGCGGGGCTGCGCTCCGCGGACGTGGATACCGACGGTCCCACCCGATGGACTCTCTCCTCTGCTGGGGCTCCGGCGTTCCCATCCTTTTTCATGCGCTCGGATTTTAATTTAATTTTTTGGGGGAGAGGGGAGCATTAGCTTCTCGCGTATACGCGGGCAGCGTATGATTGCTACATATATATATATATATGTATATATATATATATACACATATATATAATATGACAAGATTTGGCAAAGTTTGCCAAGGTCGCTGCTTGTCCCCGCACAGTGCCAGCACGCCCAGGTGGGCGGCTGAGGAACAGCCCGGCTCCCGGCTGAAGCCGCCGGGCGCTCGGTGCCCCTTCCCACGGGGACGCGGGATAGGGATGGCGCTACGGTCCCGGGAGGGAAGGAGCTCCATGCCCCGTGTGAGCGGCGGCGGCAGGGAGCTGAGCTGAGCCCAGCCGAGCCGGGCGGCCGGGCTGCCGCAGCCCCACCGGGGGAGCGGGGAGGGTGGTCCGGGGGCTGACAACCGACCCCTCGGTAGGTCAGGTCGCGCCTCTCCATTGTTCCGCCGCGCTTACAACGGGGTGAAGGAGGGTCGTGGGGGTTTTTTGGGATTTTTTGTTTGGTTTTTTTTTTAAATTTTTTTTTATTATTAAAAAGATTATAATTTAATTTTTTTTTTTTTTTAAAAAATTTTTAAATTTATTTTTTTTTTTTTTTTTGGGATTTTTTGTGTGGTTTTTTTTTTAAATTTTTTTTTATTATTAAAAGTATTATAATTTAATTTTTTTTTTTTTTTTTTTACTACACGCGACTGCGCATTTCCCTGCCGGCACGGTGCGAGGAGCCGGGAGGGAGCGCTGCGCGCCGGGGGGCCGGTAGCTCCACCGAAGCCGGGGGGAGCCGACCCCCACGGCTCACCCGGGTGCCCCTCTCCCCCTTTCCTCCCGCAGGCACCAGCCTCCGCGATGCCGCTCAGCGCCGGCTTCTCCAGCAAGAACTACGACTACGATTACGACTCTGTGCAGCCCTACTTCTACTTCGAGGAGGAGGAAGAGAACTTCTACCTGGCGGCGCAGCAGCGGGGCAGTGAGCTGCAGCCCCCCGCCCCGTCCGAGGACATATGGAAGAAGTTTGAGCTGCTGCCCACGCCGCCCCTCTCCCCCAGCCGCCGCTCCAGCCTGGCCGCCGCCTCCTGCTTCCCCTCCACCGCTGACCAGCTGGAGATTGTGACCGAGCTCCTCGGGGGGGACATGGTCAACCAGAGCTTCATATGCGACCCCGACGACGAGACCGTCAAGTCCATCATCATCCAGGACTGCATGTGGAGCGGCTTCTCCGCCGCCGCCAAGCTGGAGAAGGTGGTCTCGGAGAAGCTGGCGTCCTACCAGGCAGCCCGCCGAGAGGGGGGCCCTGCCGCCCGCCCCGGACCGCCGCCCGCCGCGCCGCCAGCACCGCCACCCGGGCTGGCCGCGTCCCCCGCCGCCTCCGCCAGCCTCTACCTGCACGACCTGGGCGCCGCCGCCGCCGACTGCATCGACCCCTCGGTGGTGTTTCCCTACCCGCTGAGCGAGCGGGCCCCGCGGGCCGCGCCGCCCGGCGCCAGCCCCGCGTCCCTGCTGGGCGACGACACGCCGCCCACGACCAGCAGCGACTCGGGTGAGTGGGACCCACGCGTGCTCCGGGAGGGCGTGGGAACCCGCGCGGCGCCAGGGGATCCCGGGGCGCAGCTGGAAGGCAGCACACCCCCGCCTCGCTTCTCTGCCCCCTTTTGCTCCCCTCCCCGCGTGCGATTTTTTTTTTTTTTTAAATGCCACGTTTGCGAGGCACGGAGAGTCCCAGCCAGCTTATTTCCTGGAAAACCAGCCCAGTTTTTCCTCCGGGGATTAAGGGAGTGAAAAGCGGGGGGAAAAAAATATAAAGAAAGTGTAGGAGGGATAAACTTTCATCATGGGGTCCCGATAAGGCTGGCTCCCGGTTTCATCCGTGGGCTGGGAAGGAGTTAACTCCAGCCCGAGAGCCGCGGGGAGAATGTGCAGTCAGGGAGGTGCTAGTGAAAGTGACTGCAGGGGAGTGAATGGGGCTGGGAAAGTTTTAGAAATGCTTCCTTAGGTATGTGACAGCGGGTTCCGCTCCCTCGTAAATCTGGTTTGAAAGTGAGTTTCTACCCAAAGCTCTACAGCCTTCCTTTTTTCCTTTTTTTTAAACTAGTTTTCTTTTTTTTTTTTTTCCCAAACTCCCTCCTATTTTCCACAAATTAACAGATCAAGAGAGATTCAGAAAATGTCTCTGAATACCCATGTGTGTTAAGTAAGCTTTCCCTCATAAGGCGTGGCCAAAGCCTTCTAAATCCATAATTAAGGGCAGCTTGAGTCTGGGAGCTTTATTGCGCTGTACTGCTGACAACCGAGGTTAAACTTTCCTACTATCTTTCATGCACTCGACATTACGCAAGATCATTACAACTTTTTGAAATCAGTGAGCCAGGGTTTGGACTGCAGTCCATGCGTCCTATTGCACTTGAAGCATTGCTTCCTTAAAGGGAAGGCTCTTGGGGAAAGCTGTGTTCAGCATCATGAAATAGATTTAAGAAGGGTTTGTCATTGGGTTCCTCATTGTGCAACTCAGAGTAGCCTTCCCTTTACATACAGTACTCTTGAGAGTGCCTACATACAAGTTGTGATTTTTTAATTTTTTTTTATGGCAGAAGAAGAACAAGAGGAAGATGAGGAAATCGATGTTGTTACATTAGCTGAAGCAAATGAATATGAATCCAGCACAGAGTCCAGCAGCACAGAGACGTCAGAAGAGCACAGTAAGCCCCACCAAAGCCCGCTGGTTCTCAAACGGTGTCATGTCAACATCCATCAGCACAATTATGCCGCTCCTCCCTCCACCAAGGTTGAATATCCAGCTGCAAAAAGGCTAAGGTTGGACAGTGGCAGAGTTCTCAAACAGATCAGCAACAACCGAAAATGCTCCAGTCCGCGCACGTCAGATTCGGAAGAGAACGACAAGAGGCGAACACACAACGTCTTGGAGCGCCAGAGGAGAAATGAGCTGAAGTTGAGTTTCTTTGCCTTGCGTGACGAGATACCCGAGGTGGCCAACAATGAAAAGGCTCCCAAGGTTGTCATCCTGAAAAAAGCGACAGAGTACGTTCTTTCCATCCAGTCGGAGGAACACAGACTGATTGCAGAGAAAGAGCAGTTGAGGCGGAGGAGAGAACAGTTGAAACACAAACTTGAGCAGCTAAGGAACTGTTGTGCATAGGAACTCTTGAGCATCACTTAGAATAATGCAAACTAGACAAACTATGATAAAATATTAATGATTCTAATATCTCTCATGAACTACGCGGTCCATCGAGTATGGAACTATTGCAACTGCATGCCGTGCGATTTAACTTGAGACTACACAACCTTGGCTGAATCTCCCAGGGGTTTGGCCAGAACCTCAAAACTGCCTCATAATTGATACTTTGGACATAAGGGATGATGGGACATTGTTCATGCTTGGGGATGAACTCTTCAATTTTTTTTTTCTTTTAAAATTTTGTATTTAAGGCATTTTTTCATACAAAAATCCAAAAGAAAAAAGTTGTCCCCAGTTTGCTGTATATATTTACACATCATATTGCCATGTAAATACCTTTAATAAAGCCTTTATAGAAAAATGTGCAACATTAATACGCAACAGTTGTGGCAACTGGATTTATACTTGTCTTGAACTTCTGTGCCATAACATTTCACAATTTTGTTTTTTATTTAAGTACTTTTTTCCTTTTCAAAATGATTTTTATTTTGTTTTTAGATAAATAAATATTTGCCCAAAATATAATTAGCTAAATCCTGTGTAAAGACTTCACTTTGTCTCCCACTGTTGTCATTAGATGTCTATTTCCATGACATTCCTTTTTCTGTCATCCTGGCAGTGACCTGACTGAAGTTAAAGGGGGGTTGGATGAGGGGAAGTGGTGATACTTTTGCACACGGCTTAGTAGGGACTAGTTTCTTGCTCCCACTCCATCTCTAATTCAAGTGGGTAAAATTGTTGGTCTAATGTGCCCTGTCAATTCAATTTGCCTTGCCACCAGGTCCTCCATGCAGGTGTGGTAGCAATGCCTGTGTTGGTCATGGTCATCTGCCTGCTGAAACTAAAGCTGGAGTGGTGTATTTTCTCGCTGATCAGCCCAGTATGTAGGCTCTGCATTCCTTTCACATACATATAATTACATTTTCAGGGCATGACCTTCATTCTGCACTAGGGACATAGCCATGTACTTTGAGGGCTGCTTTGTAGTAGGCTCACCTTAATTGTTTCCTGTTTGATTTTAACAGAAGTTAAAGAGGATAAGAAAATAAACTGAGATGGTGAGTGTTGAAGTGGTTAAAACAACAGAGCGGTTTCCCTTTTTAAGTGCTGAAATCAGCAGAGCCAATCTTGGTCAAACACCTTAACACTTTATTAATGTGAATAGTTGCTTGGGATTTCAAGGGATACAAAGTTCAAGGACAGAGAAAAGGGAGCAAAGGAAAAGGAGAGCTATTTCTCACTTGAAGAATATGCTCAGACAGATTCCTAACATTTGCCAGACATATTAAATAATATTTACATTCAGGACTTGTCTCATGATCAGCTTCGGATGGGCCATAAGGTTCTTGCTTGACACAGCTCCGAAGATTAGATTTGATCTTTTCTCCCCTTTTCACCCTCTTAGCACCACTTTGGTCATGACTTCAGCAACAAATCAATGAGCCCTTTGATGTGCAGGAAGAATGTGTTTTTCAAAAACTTGGGCCTTGCACTTTTTCGATTTTCATAATTCCCGTTAAATACATATTTGCTTGGCTTCTAACCATTAGAGGAGCAGTGCTGCCAGATAGCACCAGTGCCAGCTATTGAACCGGGACCAAGGGTTCAGGTTTTCTATTGCTTTTGAGTTCAGAGTGGGAAGAAGAATGATTGGGTGTGAGTATATGTGGGATAGGGGCAGGTAGCACTATGCAGGCAGGGTAGATGCCAAAGGTCTCTGTTCTGTCCCAAAAATCTTGCATGAGGGAGTTTGGAAAGACGGTAAGTGTATAAATCCTATTTGATGGAGGGCTTTAGGTGTTTGAAGGTTTCTTGGGGGAAAAAAGCCCCATTCTGTTAGACAAAGCAAGGCTTTTTATTATTATTATTATTATTATTATTATTATTACCCCTTACATCTGGGTTTATAGAAGTGGTCTGCAGTTGCTTTTCTCCAGCATGTGATTCAAATATTCACTTATGAGGAAAAAGAATGTGAAATGAAACTGTTAATTGTATCTGAACTGTAAATCAGGACAACTTGCAGCTATGAATAACATAAAAGTTCTGCCTTTTATTAGACAGGGTATCTAATTTTAAAAATACATTTGTTTTATTTGCCTTTTGGTGTGCTTCCTATTTTAGATGTTGCTTCAGGACAGAAGCAAGATGTTGTTGAAGAATTTATAACTGCAACCCCATCCTCCAAAATAAACCAGGAGGTGTAGATCCATCCACAAAAACTGAAAAATATGCCACCTTTGAGTTCCAGTTTCATGTGTTAGCAAAGTCCCCTGGCTTCTTCCCCTTAAATGAGGCTAGACCACAATGATTAATGAACCTCTTCTTATTTGTCAGCTTCTTATATCATTTGAAGTGCAGTTTTGGGTTTTTTCTTCTATCTGCAGAAGGTCCTTAGTATTTTGATGAATAAGACACTTGCAGTTATTTAATTTCTTACTCTTACTTTTGATTGAGCATCAGTTTGTCTTGCCACTGTCCTACTGGAAAAAAACCCAACATGAGCATCATCCCAAACTGCCACTCTAAAAAAAATACTGTTTTATGAGGTGCCATTTCATATTTATGACATTTCTTACTTTATTGTACAACTGCAAAATACCTGAATAATGAAAAAAAAAAAAAAACAAACCAAAAAAAACCATCCTGTGGGTACAGGGTTAAAAATACTCTTCTGGTCATTAAATTGCTGCTGGAATAAAGAGGAATGGGGCTTCCACTTTCCGACTCCTCACCAGAAATTAGCACATTCAGAAGACACAAACATCTCACAGCAGCTTCTGGGCTGGATTCAGTTAGTAATGCATTGTATCTGGATAGGAAGGTGTTGGGGTTTGCTGCTGTTTTGGAGCAACAGAGGAGGTAAGTTTACAAAAGCAGCATCTGAGCCTTGAAATGAAATGTGGAATTTACGGTGCTTGCCAAACAGCTGCACTGAAGCTCTACTTGAAATACAAGGAGCATTTTAACTTCACTTCTCTGCTCCTTTACTTTCACAGGACACTTAAAGCTACTTCTCTTCCAGAAGAACTTTCAGCAAAATGTGGCATAAAAGGAAACTAGAAACAAACCATCATGGTGAAAATAAAATTTCCTTTATCTGTATTATCAGTATACCCTCACTGATTTAATTTCATTAAATACCAACTTTTCCATCTTAATTTTTATTCTTGTGCTTAAATGTTGTCCTTCCAGCCAAGTTTTCATGTAAACGGCTTCAATGTTTCCATACAGAATATGCTAGGGGAGAACTGGGATGTATAAAAGAACCCATGTCTGCTTAAATCAGCTCCCACCAGAATCTGTAGAAATTCCATGTTTCTTCCAGAGAAACAGATTTGTGCCAGTGGAGAATGCTCTTGAAAATTTTATCACTACCTATAAATAAATCACTTTACTTGTCCCTACGTAAGCACTCTTGCTCATGAAGCACTTTGCAACCCTTGCAGGCAGTTGAGAGATGACAAACATTTCATCAGAGTTGCATGAAAGGGAGAATTTCAGGTAAGTAGAATAGAATAACTGTAAACTGGAAATAAGCCAGGCCACTGCAGTTGAAATCTGAATTTATTCAAAACAGAAGTTGGAGGTGGCTGTTTCATCTACAGAGATGAACCATCTTCTAACATGTTTGATTTATTTTTTTATTTTATTGATTTGTGTTAGAATCATCTGCCAAGGAATTAACAGAAAAATAAAGCTGAGCTATAAGTGATCCTAACACAGGCAGGCAGCCTGGGGAGAGATTCAGGATTTACTTCCCAGCTTACAGGTTTGCTATTCTTTTATTTTAAAAGGACATTTATGGGAGCTTCTGAAAAAAGGCTCTGCTGAGACTGAGAACTAAGCCATGGTTTCCCCTTGTCATTTCCATGCAGATGAGACCTAAACTTGCCTAGAACAAAAAAGTGAAATCAAGAAGTCAGATAGATAAGCTGCAGAAACCAGATATCATTTCCAGTACAAAACATTTGATGTTCAGCAAGTTTTACCTACCTTTGTATCATTTACTCATCTCAGGCATAGCTGTAAATGTCAGTGGGGACAGGCTGTAAAAAAAAAAAAAAAAACGTTATCCAAGATTCAGAGTAGCTGCTAGAAAGTCAATTGGGATTTTTTTTTCCCCCCTAATTTAACCAATCACCTTCTACATAGATCTTGACCAAAGGGAAGGTGGCAGAATTTGGAGCACCTTATTTATAGCAGTGGATTCAGCCATGCAAGCAATTCCTTTTATAGAACCATAGAATTGTTTAGGTTGGAAAAGTGTTTAAGATCATTGAGTCCAATCACTAGCCCAGCACTGCCAAGGCCACCAGTAATCCTTATCCATAAGTGCCACACTACATGTCCTTTAAATCCCTCCAGGGATGGTAACTCAGCTGTCTGTCAACCAACAGCCCCAGGTCCTGTTCCACTGGGCAGAAAATACTGGCCCCAGTACTGGGACTGGGGAACACCACTGGTAACTGGATTTAACTCTACTCACCACCATTCTTATCCAGCCAGATTTTTACCCAGTGAAGAGTGTACGTGTCCAAGCCACAAACACCCAGTTTTTCCAGGAGAATGATGTGAAAGATGCAATGCCAAAGGCTTTGCTAATGTCTAGGCAGATATCACAGCCTTTCCTGCATCCACTAAGTGGGTCACCTTGTCATAGAAGGAGATCAGGTTGGTCAAGCAGGACCTGCCTTTCATAAATCCTTCCTGGCTGGGCCTGATCCCCTGGTTGTCCTGTACATGTCAGGTGATGTCACTCAGGATGATCTGCTCCATAGTGTTCCCTGGCACTGAGGTCACACTGAGGGCATGTAGTTCCCCAGAATCCTCCTTCCAGCCCTTCTTGCAGATATGGCTCATGAAAGAGTTGCAGTTCCAGGGGGAAGCTGGTTTGGGTGGGACCCTGGCCAGGCAGTGGCAATATCACCCTCAATTGGTTTGTACTGTAATACAGGTATTTTTTCACGTCTCTTCAAGCCCAAGCAGCCTGTCTTCAAGTGTGTCCAGACTCCACCTTCCAAGCAAATTAGATTATTTTTTTCTGCTAATGATGAGTATGACCTTTGGTGCTGGATATTAATGCATATGAAAAAGCATTATTGGCCACTTGCCAAAACTATTTAATATTTGTAGTTAATATTTGAAGAAAACCTTGCTTCCAGTTGCCACCAATGCGTGGGAGCCCAAGCTACAAGGCATTTCTGCATGGTCGTGCTTGAAACCATGAGACACAAGGGAGAAATCACTGACTGAGAGTGGACCCCACGACTCAGGCTGACTGCAGTGTCTTATTCCCACAAGCACTGTTTCCAGCTTCCAGCTTGATACAGGAATTGTGGAGCTATTCTTTTTTCTAGAAAAGTCTGGGAGAAAGCAGGTAGTTCTTGACATTATGTTTTATGGTGATTACATTTATTGCTGAATTCACCCTTCACATGTGTCTGTCCGTGGATCTTGCCATGGCTACTTTTCTGTTTAATACATTTCCATTCAAGGCAAAATCTTTCTTGTCACCATATGTA